ATTTAAAAAGTTTAGTCTCTGCAAGTTAACCTTGACAAGATCTTATACAAACTGACCTCTTGCCCTTAAGTTCTGGCAGCTCCCCAGCAAGTATGGCAGCTAGGGCTGTTGCTCCTGCACCTTCAACTACTGCTTTCTCACACTCAACTAAACGCAAGATGGCGATAGCAATCCATTCTTCTCTTACTGTTACTACCTGTGGAGAAAATCATTAACCTTGACATATATATAGTCACATAATTCCCCTGTATACCATGTAAACTGCCTCCACTCTCACCCTCATCGTTAACAGCTGACTCACGAGACCTACTCCACAACAACCTGAATTACAATCATCATAAACGTATTTTCTGGAGTTCAAGTCAGATCCAGACACCTGTCTAGACAACCCCCCCCCCCCCCCGTCCAACACCATCCCTACTGTCAGCTTACCTCAGGCGCACTTGTTATGCTGTCGGTGATTAGTTCCTAGTCTATGTTGACACAGGATGTGACATCACCAACAGGAGTATAAATACAGGGTTCTGGATGACTAGTCATCCAGAACAAATAATTGGTCGAGTCCGGATAAGTGACTAGTCATCAAGAAAATCTAAGCAATGAAACTGACAATTTAAAAGGAAAATTCTCCAATATTTTATGCTGTATTCATGAATATAAGAAGTTCTGGATGGTGGTGTTAGCACCAGACTGTGGGTGTTAGGAGTGGATGTGTGGGTGTTGGGAGTGGGTGTGGGTGTTGGGAGTGGGTGTGGGTGTTGGGAGTGGGTGTGGGTGTTGGGAGTGGGTGTGGGTGTTGGGAGTGGGTGTGGGTGTTGGGAGTGGGTGTGGGTGTTGGGAGTGGGTGTGGGTGTTGGGAGTGGGTGTGGGTGTTGGGAGTGGGTGTGGGTGTTGGGAGTGGGTGTGGGTGTTGGGAGTGGGTGTGGGTGTTGGGAGTGGGTGTGGGTGTTGGGAGTGGGTGTGGGTGTGAGAAGTGGGTGTGGGAAGTGGGTATGAATATTGTAGGGTATGAATGTAGTTTGATTTCAACACGTAGCTACAATATAAATTAATGGATGTGATTACAGTGAATACCTTCATGCAAACTGCACGTATTGCGAAGAAGATTACAGTGGTGAAGAAGCATGTCTTAAGTACTAATATTGGGAGGGTGCATAGCACAAGATACAGTGTGTTTGAAGCACAAGGTTGGAAACACTGAGGATTAAATTATGTATTTTTTTTTTTATTTTACTTTTGAGTAAGACATAGTTTGGACAATATTTTAATTTATTACGGAACGAGTTCCATAGAGTGGGTCTTATTATTTGCATGGAGTGTTTGCACAGAATTTGTTTGATTCTGGGGATATAAAAGAGATATTTATTTCTAATATGGTGCTCATGTGTTTTATTACATCTACGAAGGATGAATTTTAGATCAGGATTAGCATTAGGAAACAAGGTTTTGTACATGTAAATAGCACAAGAGAATTTGTAGAGTGAGTGTATTTTTAGCATGTCTAGGGACTGTGTGCTGTCTGAATACAGAGTTTGTTATAGTTTTGATACCAGATATTTGTAGGGTGATGATGTGCTTTAGGTAATTTGCAGTTGTTGAACCCCATGCACAGATACCATTTGTAAGATAGGGATAGATTAGCAAGTAGTATAACGAGAGGAGAGCAGAGTGGGAGCAAAAATACTTGTCAGAGGGGGACGGGGGGAAAGATTACCGAGAGACTAATCAGAGATGTATGTCCTTGGTGGACATTAACATTTCTGGCTCGGGAAGCATCAGAGAGGCATCAGCCAGAGAAAACCCAATTATACTGTCAAATATTAATCATTCAACCCGCTGCTTGTGTACAGTATTACCTCATACTCGGCACTCACCTTATCAACAAGACGGGATGCAGTGGCAAAGGCATTGACACCAACCATGGGAACAGCCAGACCGTCAGCCAGAGTAGACTCTGCCTTTACATATACAGGTCTACCAGCCTTCATGGCGGCACTGAAGCTGGCACATCGCTCAGCTTCCACACCCTGCCAGCCCACATACACACTATCAGACAAGGATTAACAACAAATATCAAGAGATTTTACAAATGAATTATCTGGTGTATGACCACAATAAGAATGTGCATGCATTCTAATCTATTTATCTGTATCTTTGATAACTTTTTACCTTAGGAAAATCACCTAGATTAAGTGGTGATAGGGCAACCTGAAGGCTTTATATATTAACTGAAGATCCAGTCTGAGATTGCTTCTTTCAGACCAATGAGCATAATTTTGTTCTTATTAGAATTGCAACCATACTTGCTAAGAGCAATTCCAATAAAGAAACACTTACTATAACTTGGACATGTGGATAGAGCGCCTTTACAGCCAGCGCCACACCTGCAATGAGGCCGGCTCCACCAACTGGGATGACAACAGCATCAATGTTTGGTACTTGCTCCACTATCTCCAGCCCCATGGTGCCCTGACCTGCCAGGATGTGTGGATGGTCATATCTGTGGGTGGATCAACTGCATGTCATACGCTGTGGAGAAATAATATCTTCCAAAAATATTCTCCTGTTCAGTGAGCTAACCTATTTCTTCTCCCCTCCTCTTTTTAATTCAGGATAAACTCTTTGTAATAACATTCAGAATTTTACTCCCCACAATCCTGATACTGACGTTATCTTGAGATGATTTTGGTGCTTAGAGTTCCTGCGGCCCGGTCCTCGACCAGGCCTCCTTTTTGTTATACATCCCCCAGGAAGCAGCCCGTAGCAGCTGTCTAACTCTAAGGTACCTATTTACTGCTACTGAGAAATACATTTAACAGTATCGGTAACTTTGGACCGGACTCGCGTCCATTATTTTTCTCCTGAGTCCTAACTTTGGACCGGACTTGCATCCACTACAAAAAATATTTGTATAAAATTCATTTTTTATCCAATCGACCTGGGGATAGTATCAACATAAGCACCTTTAGAATGCGCACAATTTGATACCAAAATGAAAGATGTAACATGAAACTTGATGTCCGAACACTTATATGATTATAAATAGGCTTTTGGTCAAAATTTTAAAATATTTGTTAAAATTCTATTTATCACGCTATTATGTTGGGACTAGTTTTAAAATGCGCGCCTTTATGTCGCGAACAATTTGATACCAAAATGAAAGATGTAACACAAAAACTTATGTCAGAACACTGGAAAGATATAAATAATTTTGTGATGATGAGCTTCCAGAATTAAAATATTTGTTAAAATTCCAGTTATTGCTCTATTATTATGGGACTAGTTTTAAAATACACACTTTTTTTTATTGCGAACAATTTGATACCAAAATGAAAGATGTAACACGAAAATTGATGTTATCAAACTGAACGAGTATACACATTAGGTTGCAGTGTACAAATTGGTGCTCGTTCACGGGAAACTTTAGGCTTTTCTGCGGGGAGGCACTCTAAACTTTTGTACATTATATTCATACACATCTGTAGGGAATTTAATTGCGAACACAATGATACCAAAACGAGCAACATAGCATGAGAATCAAGGTGAGAAAAATGGAACAAGTATGCACATTTTACTGATTTTGTGCACTTACAGGTAACTTTTGCCGACTTTAAGCTTTGCTGTTGGGAGTCACGCCAGGCTTTTGGACATTATATTTATACACACCTGTAGAGAATTTAATTACGAACACAATGATACCAAAACGAGCGACGTAGCACGAGAATTAAGGTGAGAAAGCTGAAACGAGTATACACATTTAGTTGTCACCGCACGCTTACCTGCACGCTCGCCCGCACGCTCAGTACATGACCCCTAAGTTTACCGCGCGCCTGCCCGGTGACCGATAGTGTTTTTTCTGTTGGGAACCCCTACGGCTTCCTGGAGCTTATCGGACTAATGTATGTTATATTAGACCGGGACATTAGCTATGGAGTTAAGACCTACCAGGGACCAGCGCCAGAACCTGGCCCCTTCAGAGAGGTTTAAGGGAGCAATGGCCCTGGAAAACCCTCTTGTGGTTGGGGTTTTCCTTATCTGCCATCGACCGGGGTCAGGCACCCAGAAAGGTAGGCATGACAAAACAAACCCCACATTGTAAAAAACTAAAACAAAAAACTGAACAGAGAGGTAGAAACTCCCTACAATCCCAAGGAAACAAGCAAACATCACACTTTACTGCCGCGCCGATCGTCCGCGCAGCCCTCCCCGCCCCGAGAGGGGGAGGGGGGAGCCCCAGACCTACCGCGCTGGCTGCCAAGCTTCAGTTCGTAAGCTAATGTCAACCGGGATAGACGCTTCTCTGGCCTCAGTTTCCTAGGCGGTGTTTGCCTTGTGTGGCGTTCACTGCCGTGTGTTGTGTTGTGCGGTGGCCAGGAGTACCTCATCAGTGCCGGGGCTGCATGCGCTTAGTGGCTGACTTCCCTAAGCGCCCTGTGAGTACTGCCCTTGCGTAACAGGGTTATCTTCCCTGGGGTGTTCGGGAACCATTCCCGTAGAGGTTCTTGCTGCTCGGCATTTGCCTCGCCCTTGGGGCCAGTTGGGGCTTGGGGCCCTTGTTTGGCCCTGGATAGGGATTGGTATTGTGCTGGTTAGGGCATCAAGGTGTTGCACGGCCTGCCACCTAAGTGGCGACCGGTTCCTGTTGCCTCTGGAGATGGTGTACTTTTGCGGGGTTTTTCTTTTGTTTTCATTTTCAATTGCCTGGTGGGGGTCTGCCCAGTGTGGCTATAGTCCCACTGGTAGTGTTTGGCAGCCCTCTGCTAGGCCCCCGTGATTGTACACGTCTCAGGGGTTTTCAGTGCTATCCTCTACCCTCTTGTTATTTTTGGGTTTCTTAACTGGTTTAGCAACACCTTGCCCGGGCTTCCCGTAGCAGTCAGCCTACGGGCCCTGAAAACCCCTGTCTGGGCTCGGTGGACCATTGAATGTGTCTTCCGGGTGCCAACCCGTCTTGTACGGGATCGTTGGTTGCTGTGCCCTTGTCTCCAGGTGCCAGTTGCCACTTTTACCTCTGTCATGCTGCCTGTTGGGTCACTGACACCTTGACCCGGAGTCTTGTGAGAGATTTTCTCTGCTTGTTCTCCAGTACTCTCCTGATGTTATTACTGTTCAGAGTACAGGCTGCATCCGTGTTGCAAGCTAGGTTAGGTTGCTGCGACACGCTAGGTTGGTTTCCCACTCGGATGCCCCAAGGCCGCTCAGTTTTGGTTAGGTGCTGTTCGCCCCCTTTTATTCTCTCTGTTCCCGGCTCCGGACCGTCTGCGAGTTTCGGGGTCGGGGCGGGATTAGTTGGGGACGAGACTCGGGCGGTTTTTGGGGGCTGCCCTGTTTGGGTTGGGGGACAGAGGTTTTTGAGCCTGTAACTCCTGCCAAGGCTTCTGGGTCTTACCAGCGGCCCTTTCTTGCTGCCTTTCCCATGGACTCTTGCTTTTCTTAAGGGCGGAGGGCTTGGAGGACGGCTCTGCCCCGGGCCTCTGTTGCTGGTTCCCGGGGCTGTGGGGGAGGCCTGCTAGCAGTTCTGGGGCAGTTTGCCCCTGCCTGGGTTTTCTGCTTTTCGGCGGCGTTTTTCGCCCATCCAGTCTGCTTGCTTCCCACTTTTGCTGGCGTGTTTTTGTATCTTTATTGTCAGTCACAGCCCCTGCTGGCGGCCATTTTCATCTGCCGGTTTCCCGGCGTGGCCACCAGGGCGGCGTTGCGGATTGTTTACATGCGCCTGGATGTGTGAGCAAGCTTCTTGTGTGAGTTTTCAACTTTTTTCAGGGGTTTTATTCTCCTGTTGTCGTTTCTTTGCTTTTCTGGTGTTTTCTGCCCGTTTCCTGTTCCTCTGGGAATGATTGAGTCTTGATTTTACACCGGGTTTCCCTTTTTGTCTGTTTTGGGTCTGGGCCTTTGGGTTTGGGCTCAAGTGTCCCTGGCTGTTATGCTTGCTCCCACACCTTGTCCCTCGGTTTTCGGTCTGTTATGACCGTTTCCCTGGGGTTTCTGTCTGGGGACTGTGCTTTGCCTTTCTGTGGTGTTTCTCCGCCGGCAAATTGTGGTGGTTTGGCCTCCCCCTGGTTCGATTCCGAGTTCCTTTGGGTTCTTTGGTTTCGTTTTGGAGGTTTCTTCCTCTTGGGCCCCTTTGTGGGTTCAGGGGGCTTTGTTTCCTTGTGTGTGACCCGGTTTCTGCCTTCTGGAGTTCCGGGGTCTTCCTGGCTTGCAGACTGATCTTTTTGGGTCTTGGCACGTATTGTGGTCGTGCTGGGACTTTGAGGTTTTGTTGTCGAGGTGGGCCTTTTGATGCAGTTTTGTGCCTTCTTTGCCTGGCCGGCGTGTGCTCTGCCCACTGGTCGGCGGCTTGTAATTTTCTTTTCAAGTGTATGTGTGTGTGTACGCATGTACATGTGTACACTGTGTGTGTGCACATGTGTATGTGCATACGCACGTGTGTGTAACATACCTTGTGTGTATGTGTATGTGTATATACATGATATGTATATATGTGTATGTGTACTTTTTCTTTCGGAAGGGGCTCTGTTCCCTTCTCTGTTGACGGGGCGCTGGGGGAGCAGCTTGCTCTGTTGACTCTCGTATGGTCCCGCTGTTGGTGGGCGCTTTTGGTTGTCTTCCGGCCTCTGGTGGCGGCGGTGGACGGCTTCTCCCCCTTTGGGGGGTTCAGAGCTGGCGGGGTGGGCTTCTTCCCCTGCGCTTCGTCATGTCATCTTGGTGGGTGTGTTGGGCGTGGTCGATCCGCCCCATCCTTCTGGGGTTCCCGTCTGCTCTTTGCAGACATGGGCCTTTCGAATCTGCGGTTCTTCTGGACTTCTTCAGTCTGCGCCCTGGTTTCTATGCCCTCCTCGGAGGACTGTTGTCTCCTGTCCGGCTTCTGTTGGGGCCGGGTGCCTGGATGGTGGCCCTGGACCTCCAGGTCAATTATTGGCACTTGGTGTATTTTTGCATCTTTACTGGATCTTGGTGCCCTGTCTGAGTCTGCTTGAGATTCGGTGTCTGGCCTACCTCGATGACTGGCTGGTGTGGGCTCCCAGTCGGTCCGCTTGTCTGCTCGCCAGGGATGTGGTTCTTTCCAGATCGCCGGGTTTGGTTTCCTGGTGATCTGGAGGCCATTCCATCTGTTTTCGTCCCGGGTTCGGACCTGGGCCTTGTTTAGGGCTATTGGGCCACTCCTTGTCTTTCCCTCCAGAAGTGTTACTGCGGCTGTGGTCCCGCCTTCGGCTGTTCATGAGGGAGTCCCGGGTTGCTCGAGCGGTTGTGTGGGAGTCTGAACTTCAACGTGCTGGTCTGCCAGCGGGGTCGGGTTTGGCTTCGGCGTCTGTTTGGTTCCTTCGGAGACTCCCCTTCCGCCTCTTCCAATTGTTGGGTTCGTTCCTCCGGGGATCTTGTGTTGGTGCTGCGTCACCAGCTTCCTCTTTGGGGTTTTCGGGGTTCCGTGCCTTGGCACCTCCCCGAGCCTTCACTCGATGTGTTCACGGAAGGATCATCTCTCAGCTGGGGCTTTGTGAC